TATAACAGAGGTCTTTATAGTTAATGGATTAACAGGGAGAAACCAAACAAACGGGTTGGCTCCCCTCAGATACCAACCAGCGTCTCCGAGTTTACAATGGGAGACATAGCATTTTATATTTCACATTACATCAGAGAAATGAAACAGAATTATTGGTTACAGCAAACTTCGTCAAACTGCGTCATCTGTTTCCCATTGGGTCGAGACCTGTGGGTGGGGTCTTCCCAGGCAAAGTTTCTTCTTTCTAGCCGCACATTAAACTTTTCTCTAGCCTAGGTCATAGAATTCCAGAAGTATCTATATTAGCTGATATGGTTATAAGATGTTCATTGTCCTCTCTGTAGCCAGGCTAACTGGCACATGTGCGCAGAAGGAGCCAGTCAGAAGGCCGCAACCCTCAGCAGTCCAGCAAAATAGCAGAACAGCATTTTGCTTAAGCTTCCCAGAATGCATTTCCAGCAATAGCCATAAGTGAACCAAAGTCTAATATCTGAATACATTCAGAATACATTTCTGTCCATGTAGTTAAAAGTCATAAATAGCACTGAACATATGTATCACAGGGACCAACCCGTTTGTTTGGTTTCTCCCTGTTAATCAATTAACAATAAAGACCTCTGTTATAGTTTCTTCCTTCACAGGACTGAGAGTGTGTGTTTCTCAAATTGGAACCAGGGAAACACAGAGGATTTGTACTACACTCCCATTCAAATATACTGCTATGACTGTAACTTCTCAAATATGCACCGGGCAAAGAAACTCTATTTTTATTTGCAAACCATAAATGGGGAGAACAACTTCCTCATTCTACTGTGATGACTAACTCTAAAATCAAGGGAACACAATTTATCTCTTTGGCTATGCTTAGACAGCATGGCAGAAATATGAGATTATGTTGGAGAAGTGACTGCATGTGAGCAGTTTTCGTAATGTAAATGCTGACATATGGTGCACTAAGAGGTATGGTAATGTATATGCTCACAGCCAAATGGATGTTTCTCTTGCTTTCTCCCAGCGTGTTGTTGTTGGACTGTTTTGGATTGCTAGCTATTGGGGGGGGCGTACATACGTGCAGATCTGTCCTCGCAGAGGAGGGAGAGCTTGTACCTGAATAAAACTTGGTCTTAAAGGTTCCACTGGACTGTTTTGGGCCGGGGGGCTGGGGGGAGCTCTGCAACTTACCTGGCTGCTTCTTGCTCTGACTGAGGGCTGCTGGGAGCAGGGGGTGGGGCTTGTTGCATGTGCCCGCCCCCTGGGCTCTTTACTGCCGGAGCTCCGCTCCTGTGCGCTCCGGCAGGAAATGACCCATGGTTTAGCCCCACCTGGAGGCTGGCCACCCTAACTATGGTTGGAGCATGGGAGAAAAGGAGTTGTCTATAATACAATATTTCTTGAAGACTTCCACCTCCCCACGATGAACCTTTGAGGCTCCATTTTTCACAATGGCCGCTGTGTTCCTTGCGCAATGGCTCCCAAGGATGTGGAGGTTTGCCACAGCACTCACGAACCTATGAGCTCTGGGTGGCGGCGGGGCGGGGGGGAGGGGGAGGGCAGCTGTTGACTTCCTGTCCTGGTGGCTGTGAAGGTCAGATGTTGCCT